TATCTATTTTTATAGAAATACAAATGACCTTTAACATATATCTTAACATATATATCATCATATCTTAGAGATACAGTTTATAACAATCCAACAAATTGGGTAAAAAATAAAATCCCTTGCAAAATAATCTGTTTATTTGACTTTAAAACAAGAGAACAATAAATATAATTAAAGTAAATTCTCTGTTGCTCATTTCTCACCAAAGAAAAAAAAATACCAAAACAAATTTTAACTCAATTGTCTTGGCTTGAGTTGGCCATCCACCCATCCATCCATCCATCCATCCATCCATCCATCCATCCATCCATCCATCCATCCATTATCTGCACGCTTATTCCTTTCTGGGTCACTGGTGCCCATATCCAGCTGTCACAGTGCGAGGGCCGGGGTACACCCTGGACAGGTCGCAAGTCCCATCACCGGCCCAGATATGGCCGTCCATGGTGAGAAAAATACAAAAAATAAAACTATAAAACGATTTCTTATTCAAAGTATTACAGTTGGGGCCAGATTAAACATTAAAGAGGGACAGATTTGGCCCGCAGGCCTTAAGTTTGACACGTGTGCTTCTGTTAGGTTGTAATGTTTTAAAATCTGCTTTAGAATTTTGCAGAAATTAGCAGGAAAAAATCCTCAGTGCTCTACGTTGACTGCAGAGTTAATGAGTTTTGAGTCATTTTCAGCAGCAAACAAGCAGAATTCCATGTTTTGAATTTACAAATTGGACAAAATATAAATGATAAAGTTAATTTTTGGCTACTCTGCTCTTTGGTCACTTATCAGAAAATTCTAAACTGAAACAAAAGTCCTTTGATAAACGTTCGAGAGCCGACAGTTTGATATCTTTCTAGCAGATTAAGTTTATGAATAAGTTTCCACACCCCTGTATAATTTAACTGGAGGGCAAACAAATATGAAGAACATTAAAAGGTACAATAAGCTGTATAAATGTGCACACCCTAAACTAGCAAACTGAAGCACCGTCTGATTTAATTACTACCTAATTGAGCACACGCATCATTGATTAAAGTGACTCTGATCAACATGAAACAATCTGCAGCTGCACCAGAGACATAAAGGATGTCATCATTAAAGGAACGAAAGGTTTCAAAGCATCAATGATCTACGGAGTCATCAGGAAGTGGAAAAACAACAGCTGAAAACTGGATGTTCCTACAAAACTGACAAAAAGACCGGACAAGAAACGGGTCCAGGAGGCTACGAAGAGGCAACAACTGAAGAAGTTCTGGTTCTAACAACAATCTGCTGAGTTCACAAATGTCTGAGCTGTGGAGCTGAGAAGACGTTAAGAAAAAAAACATCCAGGGCAGAAAATAGACCAAGTCTCCCAAAAGACTGTGGGAAACTGAGTTCTGGTCTGACCAACACCATGTTGAAGTGTCTGGTAAAAAGTTTGGTTTGGTGCAGGACCAAGATCATCTGAAATGATCTTTGCTGGACTTTTTATGTYGTGGTTGTACAGTTTTAGTGGGTTTTGCATAAATTGTGTTGAATCCCAGGAATGATCTGAAGTGATTTTTTTAAATTTAGTTTATTTTATTTCCATCTGAGAGATTTTGGGATTGATTTAACTGCAAAAATCACAGCTTTACATCTTCTACCTTCACATTCCTGAGTGTGAAACCTTTCGTGGAGATCCTCACCTCAGCAGGGACACTGTGAGGACGTTTCCCATAAGTACCCTCTATTATTCCTGATCGTTATCTGCAGCGTGTGTGTGTGAGGGTGGGTGAGGGGGTCTCCGGAGTCCAGCTGGAGCCCAGTACAGTTCAGGAATTTGGAGAGTTCTTTAGATATTTTCTAAGTCTTTGCCCACATGTGCAGGACAGAGGGAGTCGGCTGCTATTTCCCCACGACCCCGACGACACCCCCTGGCCCTGACCTCTGACCCCACCCATCCAAACTGGAGAAAAGAAACATYTGAAGACGAGCTGGTTCAGAAAACAGGGCCAACATTCAAACACAGTCTGGCAAGTTTTCATTTAGGACAAAATGTTTTTTTTTTTACCTGCTCTCAGCTTTCACACATACCAGAGATCTGTATCTGTTACAACGTGCATGACATCAGTTTTTACTATCGATCTTTATCTTCATGTTCTGTCACTTCCTCAGTAAACTGCCGCACCTCCAACTTGCACGTTGTGTTCTTTCAACAACAACAAAATGATTTAACCAGACAAACTGAACTGAACCCAGAGAGAACCTGTCTGAGCTGTTCGAGCTGAAACCAACAGAACACGAGCCAAAATCTAAGCAGCCAAAAGGCCAAYTGTTGCACAGGCAGCTTAAAAAGCAGCAAAATGTAAAAAAAGACAACTTGAAGGCAGTAAAAATGTTAGCTAATAGGTAAAGTTTTAGCCAAAAGTAGCAAGAATAAGACATGAGCTAGCTAAAGGCTAACTATTAGTTAAAAGAAGMAAATTAACAAAACAGTAACTAAAAAATAAAAGTACAAAATGCTGCATAAAAGTATTAAAAAGGCTATCCAGAAGTTAAAAAGAGCAAAAGGCTTATTAAAAGCTAAAAATAGTTAAAGGCTAATTAAAAGTAGCTAAAAACTAAACAAAAGCTAAAAGTTTAAACTAGCAGAGATTAAAGCTGAAATCTAAGCCTGCAGCTTCATTTCACCGCAGTGTGACAGGCTTGTGCTGCCACCTGCTGTTTGTTGAGTGTAAAGGATTAAAAAAAATTGATGTCTAAATTATAAAGGACTAAAT